GAGCATTTTGATAAGCCTTTCCCCAACGTTTATAATTTTGAACACATGGACTATAATTTTACTGAGAAAGTTTCCCTCAATAGATTATTCCCCAAGTTGAATTCACTAGCATCTTGTCACACCAGAAACTCCTCATTTTTTAGTATCAACACAAACCATTTTCCTTATTTAGAAGGCTTCGGTTTTCTTGAGTCTTCTAGTGAAGCTATGCTCGAAAATGAAATGCTATAAGCTTTTATACGGTTGAATCCACAATTAAAAGAACTTCAGCTTAGATCACGTGACTTTCTTTACAGCCATTTGAACACAGATTTGCTTCGGAATGCAGTTGAATGTTTGCAGGATATTGAAGGTCTTATGCTTGATATAAAACCAATCACATTTCTCACAGACAGTGACAATATTATACATATGAAAAGTGTGAAGAATTTTGCAATTCGTTTCAATCAAATTTATGAATTGCCCGAATGTTTCCTACCTTTTTCATTTGAACAGCTCAAGCAATTTCAAATCACGTTTCCAGAACAACAATTTCTTAATTCTTTCATTAAAGAGTTCTACAATTTCATTGACGAAAATTCGAATATCTCGATTGTAAGGATCAGTAACATTCATCCAAGTTACGTGGATTGGTCTAGATTGGCTAGATCTTTGCCATTGCTGGATACGATTAAATTACACGCACGCCTTTCAACTGGTGAAGCAATCGAACTTATGGCTAAATTTCGAATGCTGAAAAAATTTGAATTTGTGTTAAAGGATGAATATGGTCACTTCCGCGAAAGACTATGCTACGAATGGGAAAGCAAATATGATACGGCCCAGAAATTTGTCGAATTGAAACGCAAAACTTGAAGTAATGACGATGAAAAATGTCACAAATAGTTTTTTTTTTAAATGTGTTTCAAATTTTTACAATGCAAACGTACAAAATAAAAAAAATCATGTCTTTCACCGAATGAAACTTTTGTTGAAACTTATTTTATATTGTAGGTGGATATAATAGAACTGTTCGACCCGAATTTATGTCAAAATAAAAGCCCCCCTTGAATGAATGACAAATATTGTTTTTTTTGTGTTTCGAAATTCTCGTGAAATTCATTTCATTTGATCAGTCACAATTCGAGAAAAAAAAATCGAATATGTCTATGGACCGATTAAGCCCTACTTGTTTGTGTTTTGTTTACGGTATTTTAATATGCTAAACGTAAGGCGTTTGGTCAATTGTCATCACCATCGCCGATTGTCAATGTATGCATCGTTGTTGCATCCATCGTTTAGTTTTCACTTCTTTCGGTGCTGGTTTCTCGATTCTCCGCTAATTTTTGCAATTTTTCCAATCGCTGCTCATGTTTTTTTTGAGCGGAAATGTCTGGCCAACTGACCTTTTCTCGAAATTCTAGACTACAATCCGAACACTCAAACGGTTCTGGATTTTTTGACGTTGGATTGCCATGCGTTTCGGCAATATTCACTTTCGAACTGTTTGTTTTGGATCATATGTGCGTCTTTAGACGGCGCTTTGTTTGGAAATGTATGCCACACGATTTGCAATCGAATTCCGTTTCTGGGTTCATGTAATGGATGTACATGTGCAACACCAATTGATGGCTCTTTGGAAAACTAGCTGGACAGAGTGAGCATGGTTTCAGTCCACCGTCTTTTTGAATAAATGCCACATTTGTGCGTGATAACGGTGCCGTTAGAGTGCCACCAGGCAATGCATTTCTTGCCAAATCATTTGCATTGGCCGATTTACTTCTGAAACCACCTTCACAAACGACAATCGTATGTGGCAACATTTCATGCCCCGGCAGCAACGACATTACCGATAATCGTCTCACTTGCTTGCCAGTTGATACGACGTCCAATTTATGACGATCCATAATACCGAGCAATTGCTTTCGCACATCCTGGGCACGTTTGAGTGTTCGGATTTGAACGAAATTTTCATAACACCAAGCATTCGAGAATTTATTATTTTTCCAACTGTTGTGCACCGCCAGCAAAGTCAAGTGTTCGCCCTCGAGTTGATTGAATTTGGTTTTCTTTTGATCGGCCAGAGCTTGTTTGTCTTTCGGTCGATAGAAAACATTTTGTACGCTTTTATGGCAAAAAGAGTGCATTCGCTACCGATACTGAGGAAAAATTCGCTTTTCATGTTGAAAAATGTTTTAATAACAAGAAACCTTGTCACAAGTCCATCGATGGCGAACAAAGCAAGAAATAGGCCATGAAGAAGAATGTCAACCTACTAAAATCCGAAACGATCAAGGAGAAGAAAAAAAAACAGCAAAAAAGCTAGCAAAAGAGGTACTAATTATTTCACTTTAGCGTTTCGAATCACAGAAAGATGAGAACATTTTTGGACACAAAATGATTTTTTCGATTTGATTTCTTTCTCTTCCATTCCATAGTGTTGACATTTTGTGGGGAACATGGCTCGTTCGAGTGGAATGGAATGGTTTATTCGGAATAAAAACTTCATTTGCATTCAAATCTAATCACTTTTTTTAAAATATAAAATCCAAAAACGTTAAATAAATTCCATCAAATTTGTATCTGTACATTTTATTGATTTTTCTTATTGAATTGGCTACACGTATTAAAGTTGATTGAAGGATTTATTGTTGTTGCTTTGGATCATCAGCGATTACTTCCAAACCCTGAAATAGAGAGAAAAAAGGTAAAATGAAAACGATTGGAAAATGTGTGAACACAAAGTCATAATCAAAGTCAATTCAGTTGAAGCAGTTTCAAGCAAGAAAATAAAACATTCGACGGTATAAAAGAATGGTATCGATTCGAATGCACTTGATTTGTCTAAAGCATGGTGAATATTTCAAATCTGAATCGCAATCAAATCGTACCGACAATATGATCTAGTAAACAAAACCCTCTAGAAATGTGGTAAACATAAACATCTTCTTACGTTGACTTTGTATTCATCGCCAGTCAAAGCACGATCTCTGCGCGTTAAAAATCGATCCCAGCCTTCATCGGCAATGCGATTGTATGCCTGCAATAGAATTGGAATTTATGATTAAAAACGAATCCAAAGTGACTTCCATTTAGAATGAAAGCCTTCTGAACCAGAGCATAACATGGCATTATATAACCATGCTCAGGTTTATTTATCAATGTATGCCGTGTCAGTCTTGCGGTTGAATTCATTCGACTTACATTTCCTTGATATAATTTGTTCACTGTATATGCGGCTACATTTCCCATTGATAGGGCCACAGTGATGATTGCCATCGATGGAATACACTCGTACCACATTGTGATTGATTTTCTTCAGGCTAAAATGTTGAACAGAATTTCACTAATCGTTTGTGTACGAGAAACGAGAAAAAATTATTCGCAAAACGTAAGTTCGACTGTCCATATGATTAACGTGGTGGCAGCACTGCATTCAATTTCATTTTCGTTGCGTCAAGTTGGTCATTTGAAAAACCTTGCAGTGGCTGAAACCCTACAACGTTTTCAATAAAAAAAAGAATTGCTTCAGAAAAATCAACTTTTCTCTATTTTTTTTTCATTCCTTTTATTTTAGTTCATTCCAAATTTTCTATTTAAAAATATCTCTTGTGAATCATTCATATGCTTACATGTGCATTTTTTCAAATAAATTATTTACAATACGTACAGTTTCCTTTAAATAACAATAACAATAATGCAAAATTAAGGGAAAAAATTTGTGTTTTTCAAAATTCAGCATCCAATGCCGATAAGTACGTTGATTGCAATAAGTTGAATGGTGTATCGAATCTATTCGAATTTGAATAGATTTAATGGGATTTCTTATTCCATTGTTCCCAGTAGTCGCTACCCTGCATCTCTGACAACCGCGACACCGTTCGTTGGAACGCAAAAATCTCTTCGTCACTGGTGAACACATTCGCCGCTGCTTGATCCTGGAAATTTTAACATTTTCGCGTTTAGAAACATTTTTATTTCAATTTTCTATCCACAATTGATTGAAACTTCAATACATTTTTTATGTAATTGAAATTTCTTCTTTTTTTCTCTTGAAGCCGTCAATTTGTTATTGAACTCAATTTTGTAAAAACAAATTCTTGCAATTTTGTTGGCTAGTTAATTTTTTTTCTTCAATAAGAAATAGATTTTTTTCAAGAATGAAATTACCGATCCTGGTGCTATATTCAGGTCGTCCATCAGTTTACGATCCTCATCGGAAATAAAACCAGCGTCTTTTTTCTCCGTTGAGAATAGTTGATCGAGTGGAACATCCGAGGAAGCCACCACCTGAATAAAAATAAAAATAAAGGCAAACAAATTTAAAAAAAATTGTAATGAAATCGGAAACAACAGCAATTTTTTTCTTCTTTCAAACATGAAATTTTTGCAAAATCGTAAAAAACTGCCTCACCCGCACTCGATTATCATACAGCGTATCAATGAGTGTGATAAATCGTCGAGCTTGTGATTTTGAGTCGAGCGTCAATCGTGGTATGTCTTTGATGATGACCGTGTGAAAGAACTGCGATATTTGGAGGTAATCACTTGCTGCCAGTGGCTGTAATGCAAACCATAAAAAATTTCATTAGTCGCAAAAAAATCAAAGCCCAAGTATTTTTGTTTCGAAAAAGCGATTGAAATCGAAAAATTCGGAAAACAAAACATTAATGGGGTTTAGTAGTGTGAATGTCTCTTTCACATGGTTTAATTTGTAGTAACAAACACGGACAAAATCTATATTTACCATGAACCATGAACACACAGACTAAATCCGCTGATGATGGAAAAAGATAGAGTGAAAAATTGAATGCAAAATAAAAACCCATCAAAGTTGATGACGTCTAATCACGATTGAGATATCGTCGTAAGACGTCAAGGTTACGATTGTATAATTTGTTTGCCGATGCGCAAATTAAAAATAATTCTAAGATAAAAAGGCTTCCTACATAAAAGTGCCAAAAATGAAAGTGAATGAAAGCCGAATGAATGTTATGGGAAACGCTACGTACTCGATCGCATAAATCCTCGAATGTGCTGAACAAAGTTTGGCCACATGTTTTGTCGAAATTCAAGTCTCTTCCCAAATGGGTGATTGTTCGAGGTCGTACCACATCATTCTCTTGACTAGACAGTATTTTGAATATTCGGTTTAGCTCGTCGTCGGCATTGCATTTCGATTTCCTGTTGATGAAAAATCGTGGATGGTGTTTAAAAAATGGCCATTTCGAGGGATTAAATTGAATTTCATTTGAGACTTGTACAGCTAAATGAGTGTTGAGTGGAAATATTCCGTTTAAGAAAATAGGAAAAATTCTTACACGAAAAAGTTCGTTCCATCGCCTTTGATGGCGAGTGTTCTGTAATCTATGCCACTATCCAAAGAGCTCACATCGCAGCGCTCTTTCAAAATATCGATAAACGGTAGGAAATTGCTTCGTTGCAAGCCATTTTTGTACAGATCATCGGGGGCTCGATTGCTTGTTGCCACCATAACAATACCACGGTCGAACAGATGCGTGAATAATCTCTTGAGAATCATTGCGTCACCAATGTCGACTACCTTGAAAATGGACAGCAAAATAGTTTTAGTTGGGGTGGATTCAACCCAAATTGAAGTAAAAATCATGTTTCTTTGTTGTTGTAAATTTTATGATTAAAAATTTGAATTGAATGGATATGTACCTGAAATTCATCAAAACACAGAAGCCATGTCTCTTTAGTGATCATATCAGCAACCGGCCTTGTCGGATCGAATGGATTTGCCTTGTCACTACCAACATACTGATGGTTTTTGCTCTCCTCCTCTTTGACTTCGTGAATGCGAGCATGAACGTTCGTCATAAATGAATTGAAGTGGATGCGCTTCTTTTTCGTTATCTTAAAGACAATTTTTAAGTTAGTTTTTCATCTAAAATTCATGTTAAGTCAATTCAAATTCGAAACAATGTTCTATTGGAAACTCACTGTTGTGCAACTATCATAGAATAGATCCATCAATGTGGTTTTGCCGCCGCCAACACTGCCATGGATATACAGGCCTTTTGGTGCGTTGTTCTTGGATTTTTTATTTTTTATCGGTAACCATTTGAATAACGAACTCTGTGATGATACTTCGGCTGGTGTGTACATTTGAATGGTATCAAAAAGCGTTTGCAGTTCATCCATTACCTTCGTTTGATGTTCATCGGGCTTGAGTTCACCTGCATTGATCTTTTCCTGCAAACACTTGATTGGTCCATCTGATAAGCCTTCATTTGGATTTGTTTGCGTCGCAAAACCGCGTGACCATGTAAATATTGTAAGGTCATTTTTGAATTGAGACTTGATTTGTACGTGCAAAATTCTCGTCACACGATTCAACCGAGACATTCTACAACTGTGGGCCACCCAAATCAAAATCCACTGGGATGTTCTATCACAATATCACACGGATTTATTGATAATTCACTGTTGTTGATGTCATTTGATGCACACGTTATGTAAAAAACTGAAATTTCATCATTGAAACAACACACAGTGAGTAGTTGTCTTTGCTTGACACATGCTGTACACTGACATTGCGCGAATGAGACAACCATAGGTGACCACTAGCGACAACATCTGATGTTATGTTCGTATTTGAATTTCTGTATTTGAATTATCACAACAGCGTTGAACTGAACACAACACAGGAGCTCAGTTATATGGATGCGATTGTTAAGATTCATTTGGCGAAAAGAAATATTAAAAATTGAAGAAACACATAACAGAAGTGCTAAAATGAAGCAAAAAATATTGGGAAAGTGAATTAGCACAATGTGATGCATTTGAAGACAGAGAGACAGTGAGAGTTTGGAATTTTTTCTTCTAGGATTTCGAATCGGTTTAAAGAAGTACGCTGTCGAAATTTGCACTGCGAATCGCTGTATGCGATGTTGATTGAGAATCTGCGCTGAGATTTTACGACACAATTCTCAAAAGTTTGTTCTGTACAAAAATCGGAATTATTCTGAACGATTAATAGGATTTTGATTAGCGAGGTTATTTTCCAACCTTAATCTAGGTTTAAATAAAAAAAAGGGTTGAACCGTCATTGAACACTTATGTAATAAGCAAAATCCAATTACTCATTCAGAATAATTCCGATTCGAGCACAGAACTGTTCGGAATAGTTCCGATTTTTTCAATGAAATAAAACAAAACAACTCGTCTTTTTAAAAACAGAAATGGCGTAATTCTCATCTTTATTTGTTTTTTTTTTATTTCTTCTTTCTTTTGCATATTATATACAGAATTTAATCACAGTCTTTAGATTTTTTTCGCATTTGTTTGAAAAGCTATTTTTCATTTTAGTTGTAAAAAAAATTTCGGACAAAATTACTAAAAACAACAAAGAAAACACAATTTCTTTCATTTTTTGTTCTGCCTGAATTCGTACAAACAAAAATTAACCGAATGGAATTAACGTGTAGAGGGAAAGTTGAAAGAATTGAAGGCGAAATAGAAAGGGAAAGAGAGTATTTTTTTTTGTTTCTTCTTTTCAATTTAAACTAAACAATAGGACACAACATTCGAATGTTATGCCATTTTATTTCGATGGAATGTAGTGGCCATAGTAATCGGCTTGAGCACGGGCCTCTTGTTGTTTAGCAAAAGCTGGGTCTGACTTTGCACGTTCAGCGTTTTTCTTGATACCTTCGTAGATTTGTTCCAAACCTTTTTGAATTTCCAATGGAATTGGAGGTACTGTGAATATGCAAAAAAAATCCATATAATATTTGCTTCCACTGCTTTGAAAAATGTAAATGTTTCTAATTACCGGTTGGGATGTGGTCACCAGTAGCGCGGAAACCGTGTTCTGTATTTTGTTGTGTGTTCAAAATAAAAATGAAAAACCGAAATTATAATAAGCAGTTTTGTAATGACACTCTCATTTAAGTGAATGTAAAATTACCGTCGGCAGTGTATTGAACTTTCACGACTTCGCCGTTTGGTGCTTCGTATTGATATTCGCCATGTTGAACGAGAACTCCATTTGGATGTTGTTCGTTAATGTCCTTAATGAAGCCAGTCTCTTGAGCATCGATATTGTTACCAGTTTTGTATCTATTCGAATATTGCATAAGAAAATGTAATTATTGCAAAGTGCCGAGCGAACGACCGGGTGAACGCATGAAAAGTAAAAGTGATGCTTACGATGCTTTGTAGCTACCATCTTGACCTTGTTCTTTGTTGTAGGCTAAAATTGGAATCCATGTGGTTGTACTGCTCAAATCGTATTTTGGATCGAATTGCTGTTGTTGCTGTTGCTGTTGCAGTTGATGGTGTTGTGCCATAGCACAAGCGGCCAAACAAACCGTTGCTAAAATCTAAATGAAAAATAAAAATAAAAACTAATTAAGAAAAAAAAAACAGCGGAAAGTAAGTCTAGACCAAAGAAACAAAATATATGCTAAACCAGTTATGTGAACGAATGTACGCTTTTATAAACAAAACCAAGAGTGTTAATCGAATTTCAGCGTCGAGGCACACAATCGATCGATCGATAGCGACGTCGTCGGTCGATGTGCATGGACATAAACGCTACATCACATTGAATTGGTACAAATTGCGTGCATTATGAACTAAATATTGTATTGGAAAGGAGATTTCGATTGCTTTTCGCTGACATTATGAGTGTATTGCACTGGTAATGTTGCCATTTACCGTTTTGTTAGTCCATTAAAATCGTTCGACAGATTCATTGTGAGCGCAACATTCAAATCACCTAATCAACGATAAAATTTGCTTTATTACTTTAATTTTTCTTCGCGTTCGCTTCTATTGATCATTTGCCATTATTCAACGGCTATAACACATCTACGGAATGGCGCGCGAAATCACATTTACCAAATGGTTCAGAATGAACCATGCAAAAGACATGGCGCAAAAACAAAAAAATGAAAGGGAAACAAAATACGCTGTCGCCTTTTTTTTTAAACACCAAACACGGCCAACTTTCCGAGAGCACACAACACTTTTGCTGCGGTTATTTCACGTAATAAGCAATCAATGATTTCGTAACAATTTCTGTTTTTGTTTTGTGCGCATCAATCGAATTCGAATTCGAATTGAAATTTCAGCGGCATCACACCGAGCGCCGCAAATTGCCAATTTATACTTGAATTTGTTATTGATTCAATCGACAACATGGATTTTATACCTCGCGCTCTCAACGAAATCGGATCAGTTGATGCTACATTTTTAGAACAAAAACCACAACCCTATGTGTGCGAAATGTCACACAACGAACGAATCACAATCGCTACTGAATCCATTAACACAATCGATACTATTAAATCCGATTGAAATTGAATTTTTCTATGTTGATCAGAACGAGATTGCTGCACTTTTGCGAACTTTTTTCATTTTTGCTTCAAATCAAATGTTTGAAAAGGTCAGAATAGGACACGGAACAATATTTCCACCTTTTGATTCACTCAAACTTTATTATTTCTACGAAATTCACTGTTCTTTCGTTACGAAAAAAAAAACTGTTGATAATTTGAACTCAGCTTATTGCTGGCAACTTGAACTTACCAAAACTTTCATTTTTTTTCTCTTATTGAACTGAATTTACTACTGAAAACGAATATTGATTGGTTTTGGGATCAAATTCTGTTAACCGATCGGCAAAAATCGATTTGTTATTTCTTTATTCAGCGTACGCGCTTTCACAGATCCGTTTCGTTTGGAAAGAAAGTTATGCGAAGACTGTGTCGTGTCGATCGAATCGATTGGGTATTTATACTGTGAGTTGGGCTTGGCTCTGAAAGGCCAGATCTTGGGTGCGCGTGCGGCGTATTTGGGAAGAGAGTGAGAAGCGATTACGAATGACGGCGGCGACACCATTGAACATGTGTGTGAGTTGTGCGCGCGGCCAGGTTAGGTTTCATTGCACATATTGGATATTGGTGTAATGTGTGCGAGCAAGCGTTCCCATTTTTCGATCATTGGCAAGCGCTCATATATGTATAATATTCATATTGAATAAAGAGGAGGAAAAAAACCACGAAACCAGCATCGCAAGAGCAGCAAAAACCGCCACTTGGTAACCAAATCACACACACACACACATAGTGTATGGAAAATGCCGCAGAATATTCAGCCATATCGAAGGGGTATACAATGAACATCGTGTATCATTGTTATTATGCATATCTCTTATAATTGATATGTTCGAGACGTTTTTGGATTAATTTTTCTTGTTTCTCGAATCCAATCGATTATGATCAATGCGATCGCTCACTCTCTCGGATATTTTCGTCAGCATAGTGTGCTTTGGCCGCGCGTAGAGCGCTGCCTTGTGATTACTTGGCGTCCATAATTTATTTATGAATTCATTTTTTTTTTAATTTACCATAAACTATTCGATGTTTTGCGCCTGCGACCATGCCATAAATTACAGCACTAAAATTCGCAACAAAGAGAAGAAATACTTTACAACGAAAAAAAGCGGAGCATTTTTGAGTGCAAATCCATCAGACACTGGAAAAATGACATACAGTGTCGATAAATCATGTCGCCGAAATTAATTAGGAAGAAAGAAAGCCAATATCGATCATCTGTTTCGATTATATCACTCTCTTGTCGCCGTATGATAATTTTGGCGCATCATTTGAACACATTTTTTGCAAATTTCTCGCAGGAGAGATTGATGGTATTGCTTTTGCAATTCATTTTTGGGTCAATTATTTTCGAGTGAGCAATTGAACGCGCTCGCATCTTTTACTTTTATTGTTACGCGGTTTTTTTTATTGTTCTGGTTTTCTCTGTTCGACTGTGTGAATTTTTTTCTGCAGTAAAGTGTGTTTGTGGCGATGAGTGTCTTTGTTTATGAAACATGTTTGTAATGTCAATGTGAACATCATTTAGTGCGCGCGCGTACACACAAGCTGTTTGTGTGTCATTTTTGCGTGTAATAAAATCAAATACCGAAAATTGTATACGCACATTTCGTTGTTGTTGTCATTGTTTGATTGGCACCGGTGTATCTATAACAGCGTGCGATCGAATCGCAACAACAAATGCATTACGGAAGCGGTGTGTGTGTGTGTGTGTGTGTGTCATTGAAGTGTGCGATTCGACAGAAAATTTAGAAATTATGCAAATGTCATACCGCAAATTGAGATCCAAATGATGAATTAGGTTGTTTCATTGAAGATGAAATTAATCTGAGACTAAGTGGTGAGATGAATATGCGAGCACCGCCTAATATTGCATGCAAGAGAGACACACACACGAGCGTGCGCGTGCCAGCGTTGCCCTTTTTTCCATACCAAACATGGTGTTCGTTGTGTATGTGCATGAGCTCACGCCTAAGTTTTGTAACAATTGCCCATATATTTTCCGCTTGTCGTGTCTCGATCTTATTCTCGCTCGTTGCTTTTCGCTTTATTAGCATTGTCTTTTTTTTCCTATTTGCATTTATTAATATTTGATTGGATTTGTTTTTATTTTCGTTATTCATTCATTATATTACAATTGGAGCTTAACATTACAAATGACAGAAAATATAACGCCATCCGAAAGCCGGATTGTGTGTGTATGTGCTTGTTTCGTCGTGAAATGGTTTCAATTTCATCTGTTTATATCTTGTACATATAGTTCCTTCATCCACATTTAAACTCGTTGCTTTGTTTGCATAACACATCGCAGCAGCAGCAGCAGTGCCGTGCATTGCCTACAATGCCATTGAGAAATTGGCTGCAGAGAATCAAAATCGAGCTTATGAAAGAATTGCCCGGAATTCTTTTTCTCCGGCTGAATAAAGAAAATGAAACCCATTTCGTTATAGACGTGGATTATTTTCACTTTTTTTTCCATGCTCAATTCAATTTCATTACTTGCAGCTCGTGCAGCTCAAATGTCTTAAGAAAAAACACACAAAGTAATTCTTCTAATAGCCTGGTAGACCTTTCGATTTAAACTTGGTACATGTTTACATTGTTGAAACAATAACAACAACGAGACAGAGAAAAAAATCGATCGAAATGGAAGAAAAATTTATAAAGATTGGTATTTTCGTATTTGGTGACTTTTCGATCGAGCCCGAAAAAAAACAACAACAACAAACACAGCAACGGCAACAACACAATTACACAATGGCCCCACAAATAAGTGGGCTATCATGTAATTTTGTGTGAGATTTAAGCTTTATTATTCACCTTTTCGTTGCATTAAAATCAACAGAGTAGCGCGTTGGAGAGTGAAACATGCGTATATCGCCACTTCATGCGCTATTCTTTCCAGTCTCACCAATATTTATGAACATAAAAATCGAATTTGAATAGAAGAGTGCCTTTTTTTATGGTAAATCCATAAGCAAACTAATGCCAAATGACCATTTTCAATGTTTTTAACATTTATTAATTCGGCATTTTTATTATTATTCGTTGATTGAATAAATCACACGCAATTTTCACTATTTTAGTGATGTTACTGTTGCAGGATTGTTGCCTATGTAACACACACACACACACACAAAATCCCAAATGGATGACGCGAGCCAAAATTGTGTATTAGACACTTATGCAATCGATCGATGTTATTCGAGAGAAGAAAATTAAAATAAAACAAAACAACGTGTGTGGTGCTCGCTCTCGCTCACCTTACGCTAATAGACAAGTGTCGATTCGAATCAATAAAAATGTTCAACCATTAAGTAATGGCAATAATGTAATACCAAATGAATCCTAACGAAAGAAGCGGAAAAGACTTGACACACAATTCAGTGCCCAGGAAAAAAAAGAGCATAAAACAATCACTCGAAACATTCGAAACGGGCTAATTCAAGTGCAATGCAAGCAATGATATTTTAAGAGTAAAGCAGAGCACCGTCAATTTTCATCGCTTCGTAAATGGATTTACGAGTTAAATGTCGTTGAAAATTTTGAGTTTATCAACGAAACGAAAAGAGAAATAATTACGTAACTGAATACAACAACAACAATGGGAAATGTCGGTGTTTCGGTAGTGAGCTTGTGTGTGAGTTCCACAGCATACACACACACTCTCACTCTCACTCTCACTCGATTCGGTGAATTTAATGCCCTCTAATATTCTAAGAAATAACAACAACAAAAATCATCGACTTATTACCAAAATTGAGAGAAGCCCATTTAAGTCATTTGTCATTGGTATTTTAAGTGTGAGCGTGCGCTTCAATTAGATAACCAACATTTTTTATCGGCGTTTTGCGCTTTGTAAACGTGCGCTAAAACGTGTTGATTTATTACCGTTGTTCACATCTCTCTGTGTTTTTTTTTTTCTGTTTCAACTCCTCAAGTCACTGGCTTGCAATCAATGCAAACAGTTTTCACTTTCGTTGAGAGAGCATCATCATCATCAATATAATCATCGACAGAGACAGAGACAACGGCAACGCCACATCATAAATATGGATGAAACGTTGTCATTGACTCAGTCGACCAATTCTACTGGCCAATCGAAGTACAATTTTCTTTGGTCTCCTAAGGCTTGGAATTCGTTTTGAAGAATGATGAAGAAGGAGTGCAAGAGAGAGAGAGAGAGAGAGAGAGAGAGAGAGAGAGAGCGTGAGATAGAAAGAGAGAATGAAAATTCATTGTGATGATGATAGTCAGCAATTATGAAGGCAAGTTTTTCTATTCGCATAACAGAAGTAGTTGTAGTAGCAGCAAAAAAAGCAACAAAGTAATAAGTAGTATATTCCGATAAAAGCTGAACCGTTCGTTGAATCGAGCCCCGTTAGCGCCTCGATGATAAGACACAGGCTCACACATTCTGCGAGAGTCAAACGCCCGAGTACAAAACGTGCACCGGAGTCAATGAACGTTGCGACAAATAGTCAAGCACGCCGAAACCGGGCGAACATTTATTAAATGTTCGATCACGATCATGTGGAAACGTAAAAATTGTGTGTTCAACTGAAATCGGCTTCATGGCGATTAACATGCACGATAAACATTAAAATGGTCGACTTTTTTTCCTTCGTTTTTTCATCCACTCTTTAAAATGATAAATGACAAATTAAATTAACGGAATGGGCCGTTGAAATGCGGAGAGAAAGAGAAAAATGAAATAAAACATAAATCCGTTGATAGTTTTCTGGGCCCATTCAGAATTCAAGCGTACGCAATTGCGATGGATATTGCAAAATTGAACCTCAATCGAATAGCTTTTTTTTCTTCTCTTCTTACAGAGCCATAGACCCATTTCTTATGAAGCCATTCGCTTGCATGTCACCGATTTGGTGTTGACTCTCGGTGTATTTGAGTGTTTTTTTTCGCTTCACAAAATGAGATAATATGCCGTTTAATCTGTTTAATGATTTTTTTTTCTTCTTCTTCTTCTTATTTATTTCACAATTTATCGTGTTGTCGAGGTGTGCATCAATCGACTAATGGTCTGCATGTCTTCGAAAGAGACACATACTTTTAATTTAGCTCAACATTCGATTGCTGTTGGTCTGTTCACCGATCGACCGGTTTGGGAGTGTTGTGTTTTTTCCTTCTTTTTTTTCACATTAAAACACGTAAACATTAATTAAATTTCTGGCCCATAGAAGACTAGGATGGTGCATTTTCTTTTACGCGCACACTGAAAAGATACCTTACCACACTATACGCAAAGTGTCTTATCTTGTTCCACTTTTTTTTCGTTGCTCTTGCTCTTCGCGACTTACATGCGTTGCAATGTCGAAACAATCCGATTCATCATACTATGCTGCGTGCACTATGCTCAATGCTCGCCACCAATTATTTAATTCACCGCAATCGAGAGCTGATTGATAAAAACACTGGCACTGTAATTCATTGTCAATTGGTAAGTCATGTCATTACCCTACGTGTAAGTGCACACGGAGTTTATGCTCAACAAACACACGCTTTTCACTGCAAACGCATGGTTTATCACGTTTTATCAATTAAAGAAAATCATAGCTGCGTTTATTTTCTCCTTCTTCTTCATCGCTTTTAAGCTATTATGACTCTATCAACCCATCGATCCCTTGAGATTATGGGTATAGCATTGAAAGTCAGTCTTGATTTGATTTAAATACAGTGTTTTACGCGCTTAATCGCATTTTAGTTACCTTCTAGCTCTAAAAGAATAATTTTTTTCCGAAATGCTCAAGGTTTTTCCATGACGTCAATGAAAGTCGGCTTTGTTCTAAGATTTGAGCTAAAGGCGCTGATTTATCATTCGAAATATAGCCCTGCAAAATTGTAATTTCAAAACAGATTGCATTTCATTATGCTTCAAGAAGTAATGCCGCATCAGAAAAATCAACTTAAATCGTGAAAATTAACTAGAAAATTACTCTTCTCAAAGAGAAAAATAACTTCTTGCGCTCGTTTGCGCTACTAAAAAGAAAGTCTTGCGATAAGAAAGATTTCATAATTGAAATATACAAAATCAAAAATGACGACACTCTGGGAAATATCGAAAGTGTTCGACACATGTGGTTTTGAACGCGAAGCTGCGCACGCGAGCACACAGACCTCCTACAGACCGAAATCGAAGATTGATCGAATGTGTTACATGATACACACAGCGCGTAGATTATGCAAACTAAAATAATATTAAAGCAGAGAAAAAACAGTCTTCATTTATGAAATAAAATGAAACAAAATAAATAGTAAACTGATTGTGAGCGCACGGTGGCTTGCGCGCACCAGGTGCATTAAAATGTTGAAGTGACCAACAAACATACAAATGGGATGACATACAAATTACCAATTCGCTAAAGCATATCAACAATTGTGTAAGACGAAAAGGAAAAAAAAACAGCACACACGAAATCATTCATGAAACGACAGAAAAAAAACGGTCGTAGAAAAGAGACAACACACGCAACGGTGTGTGCCAGCAGCATTTTATTGCTCTCAATTAATTGCACCGAATTATCTTGCTGATTGTTTGGTTTTCGGCGAAACAGCTTGGGATCGAGAGTCGGTTGTGCTCCTCCAGTTTTATGTGTCGTCCTCTTCGGCTCGTCTGAAACCATAAGTCAGACGGGTCATGGTCAATCATAATGATGAAATCAGCATATTTTCTTTGCGCAGTAATCGGTCCGGTCCGATGGGTAAAAATTTAAATCAAGAAAATCTAAATGTCAGTCATAATATTAAATTGATTTCACTTTCGCAGCGAATCAGATCGTGCGTGTATTTCATACACACAGCAGCAGCCATGCCATCATCCAATGACATGATACATAAGGTGCTCTTTTGTACAGTTTTGGAATATTTTAAGCTATGTAGTATTATTTTCATCATATTACCATGAATGCCATATTCATGTGCATTTATTTGAATTGACACCTATATTTCAATTACGACAAATTCCGAGAAAGACTTTGACAGTCTCCTTCGCACTGAATCAGAGCCATTCTCTTGCCAGATTTACCGATTGCCCCTGATTTGAGAGATGACATTTAAAATAAGCGAACAGTTCATCGAATCGAGTAAAGTGTGCATTTGTCATTATCGGAAAATCAGATTCTGTCCAGTCTGTTTTGTTTGGTCCATGTTGGCACAAGAACGTATCGAATCGATTTTGCGTTGGTTATAAAATGAAAAACGATGCTGCTGTTTGCATGCGGCAGTGCAAACGTTCAAATTAAATTTACATGTCGTTGTTGACAAGAATTACGCATGACCACTTGAGTTTATGCACTTACCACACATCGGCCACTTGTTTTTCGCCGTCGTTGTTACAGGTTATTTTTGCTCCGGCTGCTGCTGTTGCCCATTGTGTTGTGACAACATGAGATTCGCTTGAGAGTTGCGCCGTAAAATAAATGAAAAACTCTGCACTTCACATACAGTGTTTACCGTTCAAATTGGCTTTTTGAATGAAAACGAAATAGAGATGATGCGCCGTTGATTACGCGTTTGCGTTATTGTTTACTTTATCAATTTACCAACTCGTGCCTGAGTACCTCAAAATGCTTCATTTTTTTTTTCTTTCGGACAAACATCGAGAGCTCATTCAGTTATTTATGTTGAATAAATAAATCAAATCGATATTTCACCGCATCTTCACTGTGTTTCTGGGCAGTGCGATTCGTGTTGGGTATAAAAAGATGGAAGTAATTAGAAATATCATTCAGTACTGAACGCAATTGTGAATCGGTAATATCTTGGTAGTAAACGTTTGATTTGCAGAAAGATTACTTTAAAAACGCGTTCATTTTCGGTGACAACAGACTGATTCGATCAACATGTTTATCGATCGTATATCTTTGGTCATTTCCATTTTGTCAGCATTTGCTCAAGCCATACCCATCGAAATAAGCGGCGAAGCCATGCCCGAAGTAAATACTCCAATTCCAATCATCTCACAAACCGACACAAGTTCACCCGATGGAAGCTTCAGCTACAGGTAATGAAGTTTGCTCAAAAGGAAGAATTCAAAGGTCTAATGAGCCCCTTTCGATTTGGTCAAGCAAAGTGAAAAATTCATATTTATCGACTAAACCGGAAAATTCATTGAATAAATTAGAAAATTGATTTAAGTGAAGCAACAAAATAAAACATTTTCTTTTGTTTATTTCAAAATTATATTGTTAAATTCAACAAAATGAATTAAAATTCCGTTTGATTTGACCGGATTTTAAGTTTTGAGACTGGTAATCACATCAAGCAGCAAGCGAATGGGTATCATAAGACGGTGTTGGTGCCGCGTTTACGTGCCGATGGTAGTGAAACGGGTGAACTCGATTCAGCCGATGTGATAGTGCAAACCGGATCATATTCGTACATAGCCCCAGATGGCACGGTCATATCGGTGCACTATATCGCTGATGAGAATGGTTTTCAAGCATTCGGTGATCATTTGCCAACGCCACCGCCAATTCCTGAGCCCATATTGAATGCATTGCAAAGCAGTCAAAAATTGGAAGAACAGCCAACAGCACATGAACTGCTTGCATCCCAAGGTAATGCACATGTCAAGACGACAGCAACAGCAACGAGAGAAAAAAAAGAGGAGCGATCTGTGCTAAAAACCACTTTTTCTTAATTAAATTTTGTTTCTTCGTTGCAGACAATGCCATCGTTGCCATACCATCTGAAACGGCGATGGAAAACAGCGATGGAAAACAGCGACAGCAGAGATCATCATCACCATTATTTTTACCACCACTGTTGCAATAATTGCTGACACATTCAAGGATACCACACAAGTCACAACTCGCTGGCCATTGGACAGTCAACCTGATGGGCGAAACTATGCAATTTTTCGAATATAAAGAAGCTAAAAAAGAGATCTTATTCCTCTAAAACAGAGAATAAATGTCCAATAATAAATTTTTTCCTCAGAACAATTGAAAATTGAACGCAATTGAACGAATAATCAATGAATTTCAGCAAGTTTTTTTTTTTGTAGGTACATGATAAAATTTATTTAGGAAATTCATTTTTTATTATATAAAACAATTTTTCAATACATAATAATAATAATTTAATGGTAAAAAATAATATGTGTGTATGTGTCTGTGTATTTCATTTTCATTTTTATGTTTTTTTTTTCATTTTGTTTTATCTCTCTTCTCTCGTGTCGGTCTGTCTCACTTTTTGTTCTAGTTCATTTTTATTCACTTGTCATTTGCTTTTTCTCTTGCTGTGCAATTTCACGCGTTTATTTGCCATCTATTCCAGTTTTATCCATCACTGAACACGAATAATTTGATGGATTCTATCTCGTCGCACAGAGATGAAATAATAGAATTTTCATTTTCTTTTGTTTTATTCGGATTGATTCTTTGGTGTGTCAATTAATAATGCATTTTTCACTAAATGGCTTTAGTTTTCGTAAGTCTCGTTAGTGTTAAGTTTTTTTTTTTTTTGGTTTTCCATCGAATTTAAATCGTCGAATGACGAAGCGATGCTTCTCTGCACGTTACCGATGCTGAATTTCAAGCGATTTTTATCTGATTTTGGCGGCTATGAATACACAATATAAATCATTCCATTTCTGTGGTGTTTTTATCTTTTTTGTTTTTGTAATTATTAATATTTTGAGTTGAATTGAACTATTAACAATCCATTTTTGTGTGTGTGTTTTTGTGTATGTGTGTGGTAAATGGTAAATGTTCGAACAGTTTTAGTAGGTTTCATCTGTTCCATTTTTATTTGTTGTTTGTATTGCATGTAAAGTATAAATTTGTTTTTTTTTTGTTCTGTTTAAAGATATACCTTTTTAATATATTAATTTACGTATTGAGTAACCAAGAGTATAGTCTTTTCAGTCCACTCGAATCCGCATTTTTTATTTTTGCAAACAGAAATAGATATCCGGTCGCTCATGTGATTCGTACAGAACAATAAGACTACTTTTGATCTCTCTTGTTGTATGTATATATAGATTTTTTTTTCTGTTTGTTTCCGCTTGACCACGATTTCTTTTGTGTGTGTGTGTGTGTGTGTGTGTGTGTGTGTGTGTGTGTGTGTGT